CGCCGGTTGAAACGGTTTGCAGCAAAACAAAATGAGCTGTATTTAACATTCAAGCATAATGCTGAAAAGTGACAATTGCCGATCTCCATGGAGATCAATAACGGCGGCCGGATCATTGTGTAAAGTGTCTCCAGCTTTAATGCAGAGAGGATGTCATTATTATTTTCTTTCTCCTAATGACCATCATTATGCACAGACACTGATTGAATTCCATTTGTTACCTGCGTTTGAGGCTGAGTGGAATAATTACTATTTAAGTGCCTCCATTAAAATGCATGCACGGTTGTTCATATTCACACCATTTTTTGAAATATGTTTCTGAATTATTATTTATTATCGAAAGACAAAATGCATCATATGTAGCCCGGCTTTAATTCACGACTCAAGCGTTACTCGGCCATGCCTCCTCCTTTAAAAAAAAAAAAAAAAAAAAAAATGCAAGAATTACAAGACCAGTTGCTATCAGTGCCATGCACTCTTACGTTTTAATTAAAATGGATCTACCGAAAAGACTAATCAATACAAACCACTTTTTCCCCATATTGATTTTGTCAACCAATTCTATCACATTCAAAATAGATGTTGATTGCAGACGTTCATTTCTCAATACAGTGCAACCTCTGCTGCTTCATTTTTAGCTTTTGTCCTTTTCTAATTTCAATCCATTTTTCACAAAAGGAAATAATTAGAAAAGGTTCCCGTCCAGGGTCACTCTCATAAAAACTATACAGGCAGTGTGGTTTAAAAAAAAAAAAAAAAATCAACAGTTAAAAAATGTTAACTGTCACTCAAGTGAAATGAACACTCTACGTTTCATTACAAATGGCAATGCAGCGATGATTTGTGTCATAGATGTGCCTCATCCATCTTTTTTTTTTTTTTTTTTGGGTTGTCATGTAGGTGTAAAAAGAACGTAACCCCTGTAAAAGCAACAAAGCTCTACTACACGGGGATAAATAAAGTTTTCTGAATCTGAAAAAATACACTAATCTTTTACATTGAGTGCGTGTCACAAAAAAAAAAAAAAACGAGAAAAAGAAATGTGCACGGTCTTTAATGCTTTGAACTGAAGTTTTGAACGACACGCTGACATCAATTTGGGTCTCATTTAGAGGTTCTACTACAAGGTACAAAGGATTGTTGCACAGCACCAGGTCAGAGTCTCAAGAAGTCAAGCAGAACCAAACAAAGCCCATCTATTTTATAGCATCATGTATTTAAGGAAATTGTCTTGACCATAATTTGTTCTATGCGCTCCTACGAGTCTAAACGGGTTTTGTGGAGGATGAATTAAGCAGACAAATCCGTCCGTGTTAATTCATCTCAGGGGGTGGCCATTTTGCCTCGTGCCACCTATCGCTGTCAACTGAAAATGACATCACTGTGCCTCAAGGCTCAGACTGCAGTGCCACATGACCCAAAAAAAAAAAAAAGTGAGCCGTGACAGTCCTTACCTGAGCCCTTCGGCACTATGATGTCATTTTCAGTCGACAGCGATAGGTAGCACGAGGCAAAATGGCCGCCACCTGGGATGAATGAAAACGGGTGGATTCTTGTGCTGAATTCATATTTCACAAACACAATATTAATCAGAATGCCGCATTTACACTGGGATGGTGCATAAAACATATTGTCAAAACTATTTTTGACTTGATTTTCCCCTTTACAAAAAAAAAAAAATATATGCATACTGGCCCAACAGCAATGAGTGCACCATGCTAACATGAAAGGTGTCCTGGCTGGTTTAAAGTCTAAACTCTTCTCGGTTTATAGGTAGCTAAAGTAAGTGACCTGAGGGGCTTTTTCATGGCAGTGACAGTGTTGCTCGTGGATGCCGAAATGATTTTGAAAGCTGTGAGTTTCAGGTAAAATTGTTCCACATTGTTGCTTTTAGGAAGTGAAATCCCACGAAGGCTTGCCACTTCTAATCTCGTTTAGTGGTGGTCAGGTCAAGTAATGGAATGGACTTCCGTACCTGTGTTGTCAGTGAATAGGGAAACACATTTACTAAAAAAAAAAAACTCTTCCTTGGGATAGAGCTCCTATAAATAATACACTCGCAGTGAAATGTGAGTCAAAATGAGATTTGGCCGTAGCTAATCAATCAATGACAGATGACTGCACTTGCACGTGTACTAAAAAGGGGGGTGGGACGAATGCAGAAATGCGAGTGAACAAGTTGTAGTTTTGTGCCAACAGTCCGACTTCCTGGCGATTTATCAAAGTCAGCGGCGGCGAGCGGCGTGCCTGCCTGATTGTAGTTCACGGCGGACGGAATTGAGGCACGGCACTGAAAGGAATGTTTATGCCCTCAGCTGTGGCACTGTCAGCCTTGTGGAATTTACTGTAAATCACATTGCTTTTATTGCAAGATTTAGTAGCTTATCCTCTGTGGGCTCTATTCACTGCAAAGCTTGGCCCTATTAAGACTTCAAGTCCCGGTAGATGGGCACACTTGGATACGCGGCTTGAAATAATGTGAGAAATGAGCGTTTAAGGACGACATGATAACTCTGATCATGAAAAATGGAATCTTGCTTTTTTTTTTTTTTGTTGCAGTTTGTTTCCATGTTCAACTGTGGCGACAACTGCCAATCATTTATCTGTTTTGAGAGAATATCTGAATGAATGCTCTGAACGACGGTTTCTACGCCAGCGTGAGCTCATCCGTGCCTTGGCTGGTTGCGTCCAAGTAATACACTCCCTTTTTGCCTCACTTGTTTCAAGAGGCGATCACTTCCACACATTTAACAGAATTCTTAATGGTCACTTAATCAACTAATCGATTACGATGCCCATCCTTGAAATTCAGCGTTCCAAAACACTGAACGTTACTCACTTTAAGTGATCCATTTTGACATCAGCTAGATCGGCGGCAGGCATAATTGAGCCTCCGAAAGCAACAATTCCTAATATCCTCCTTCAAATCGTCAGGCTTTGACGCGTACCCGAGCCGGATTCCAGCTTGTGATGGACATGAACTGTGATCTCGGAAGCCGTGTGTGCGGGTGTCGGCGTGATGTGTGCGTTGACGTGCTGTAGCAAGGGTTCAGGGAGGCAGCTGAGCAAAATAATTTAGAATGTCCTGCCTGCTGACACAAGGACAAAGGCACCGTCTCGACATGCCCATATGAGGAAGCTGACAGTGACTGTGGCTACACCTGCAAACGCACTGGCTGTTGTTTTTCACCGTGACCTCTAAGCACGCCGCGATTTCCACAGGCTGCTCTCGGACATTTCGCCCGGACCGTTATTGCGCTGCAGAGTCAATGTAAATTATTCTGCCGTCGCAATCCGCTGCCGTACCGACCGACTTCAAAACACTCAATGAGGAATATATGGGGGGATTACATACAAGCTTTTAATAACATAGAATCTGAGGCTAACGTGGACGTCGGACAGCTCTTTGTCTGGAGTGGCCGCACGGGGAGGGTGGGTGGGGTTCGGGGGCGGCGTCCCGCCTCGTGGCTCGGATTTCTCCGAAGACCTCATCGAGTTTGAATTAGCATGGCGCGGCCGGGGGAGTGGTGGAGGTTGAATCAATGCATCACTCTTAGGGCCTTGGCTATGGATATGAGAAGGCATAATGGGACTTTTGGTGCCGATGCTCATATCATGTGTCTAACCAGGGTCTCCCTGCATTGCTTCCCAAAGGAGAAGAGATTACCTCCCTCTGTCAAGGCCACGGACACGTAATGAAGAGGTGCAGCCAGTGCAATGTCCCATTCTAATGTCGGAATGAAATAAATATTGAATAACAATACGGGGGTCTGTTCGTCGTATGTAAAATTGCAGTCACTATATCGGTGCAGGTGTATTAAAAATATTTTTCAGCATAATTTCCAGTTCTCTACCTGGACTGAGAATGTGTTATGCGCCTTGTGCATTCGACAATGATTTTCACATTTTCGCTTTGTGGAAGAAGCCTAAAGGTTTTGTGGCAACACTGACTGCTATTTCCAACCACTCATGGTTCCTTCCACCTAATGTGGAAGTTTATTTAACAATAAAGTTGTACTTGACTTGATGTGTGAGATTTTAAATGTTGAACCCTACTTCACGGCGCAAAAATATGAGGACGATGGGAGATTGTTGTCATACATTCCGCCGCCAGTACTTTCCAGAAATTCCTGTATCACCTTCATTGTTACCGTGAACCTCAATTGGCAGCTCCCCTGACCAGTTTTCTTCCCATTTATTTTTCCATACATTTTTGAGGGCCGTCCAGTGCTTGGTCATGTTGTGTCATATTTTCTCGACTGTCTTTGCTGTGTTCCATTATATTTTTTTTTTCCCGAAGAAATTCCTTCTCCTGAGTGATCCCTTTGAACAATAAATAAGTTTATGCTGAGAGAGCTCCGAGTGGACAATGGCTTTTGCTGCATAACGTTAGCACTGAATTGTCAAGAAAAGCCTCCTGGAACACCTGGAGTTGGTTTAGGGTTAATCAGAGACACTTGGCAGATGTGTGCTGATGAGGGCTGTTTTACGCTGCTGATTTCCAATGCGATCATTCATGAGTGTGATCGGCGGATAACGATTACGATACGGAGCTGCTCACTCATGATTAATTAAATAATCAATTAATCCACAGGTGTCAAACTCAAGGCCCGGGGGCCAGATCTGGCCCGCCACATCGTTTGATGTGGCTCACAAAAGCAAATCAAAGATGTCAACTTTCATGATGCTTGCTCAAATCTCGACCAAAATTTCTAATTCTCATTTGAAATAAATAAGAGTGATACTCTAAGCATTTTCTTGTTACCAAACTCCGCATTACAGTAACTTAAACAAAAGATGAATAAACCGCTATTCTTGATTTCTTTATATGGTTTCAGTCATAACGGCCCTCCAAGGGAAACTGTAATTAAAATCTGGCCCGCGACAAAAATGAGTTTGACACCCCTGGATTAATCCGTCAATTGTTTTTGGGTGTATTCATTAAACATATTTTTTTAAAAAAACATCCTCTCCAAATTTCCATCCCTTTATTGCCCAAAAACAGGACGTTCTTTCATATTTACAGCGCAGAAGATGTTTAATCTTATTTTATGCTTCAGTCATGAAATGGATTTCTTTGAAAGTTGCACAGCTTTTCATACACTATGTTGATTATGGGTTGTAGGAGGGGAACAGATTTATTCCACGCTTTGTTCCGTAAAAACGCACGTTGTCCCTACGAGGCAGGACCAGTCGAAGTCCAGTCTGCAAACGGTTGTAATTAGAATATGAACATGTGCAAATGTCTCTGGGGCCAAGTGTTGCGACGATCCAGGCTCCCCGTCAACGCGCAGCTCATTAGGGGGCTCTTCTTTGAATTTGGCTCTCTCCTGCAGGGATCATGCGCAGTGCGCACAGCGCGCCTGCCTCCCCTCCAGTCGGCCGAGCAGCTGTCCAAGGGCTTGGAATTCCAACATGGCAGAGGCAGTGGTCAGTCTCGCTCGTAGCGGCAACTTGGAATGCTCTCCGCTGTCGAGCCGCGGCTCCGGCAGCCTCTAACGCCCCGCCACAGCCACCAGACCTCCGCACTCGGATCGATGCTCGCGTAAAAAAAAAAATTAAAAAAAATTAAAAAAGCCCGCAGCCACCCTGTCACCTACACAGGTAAGACTGCATCCTCCCTCCGTGACATATATATTCTATTTTTTTTTAATATTACACGCTCCACGCGAGGCTCCCTCTCCGTTGCCATCTATTCGAATGCGTCCATGCAGCTCCATACGCCTCACCCCGACCCCCCCCCCCCCCAAAAAAAAAAAAACATGACAAGACGACGCGGCTGCAGGACGATGACGCACGTTCTTGCATTTTGAATAAGTTGAAACAACAAGTTTGTGCACGTTGATTTGAAAGGAAGCGGGCGGGCGCGGGGGGGGGGAAAAAAACAACAACTCAGCGTTCGAAAGCGTCGGGGCGCGAAGGCTCGCGACAATCAACTGTTTGCAAGTAATCTATTTCCAAAAGTAAAAGAGGGGGAGGAGGAGGAGGAAGAGGAGGAGGGGGTTCACTCTTCCTATGAGGAACGCGTGTGTGTCTCGTGTCATCGTCAGTGTGTCTCATCAGGCTCTGGCAAGAAGTGTCACACTCCTGTGCAGCCTTCTTGAAAAAAAAAAACAAAAAACACCGTCGTTTATTCTCCTCTTACTCCTCGCGTGCATGATCGGCGATTTGCGTGGACACAACGCGGAGCCGTGCGTTGAAAAAAAAAAAAAATCATTCGTGTGTTTGTGTGAAAGTTGTGAAAGGAGATCGAGTGTGGCTGCAATGAGAAGCAACCCGTTGGAATTCCACCTGGTGAACGCTGCGAATCTGCTGTCTTCCTTCTGCTCTCCTTTCCAGGCGTGAAGACATGATTACGAGCACCAGCTTTTATGGTATGTCTCTCTTTTGATTTTTTTAAAAATATCTCCTATCTCTGCTCTTTTATTTCATCTTGTGCCTTTAATAGCCATAACAGAGCATCGCATTTGTGTATGTGTGCATGCAAAGTTCCCCCCCCCACCCCTCCAGCCCCCCACGTTTTTTTTTCTTCCCAAAATATACAGTATGTGACAGTCGAGACCTTTTATGGAAAATCACGTTCCATTTCTCATCAATAGATGTGCCACTATCAATTAGGTCCCGCGTACAGCTCATTAGGAAGACTAAAGGACGAGAGCCACGTTTAATTATATTTCTGCTCTTGCTGCAATTCAACTTTTCCTTTCTCATTTTTGCTCACTTATGTATAATTAATATGAATTCATTGATAGGAGACATTATCAAGCGGTAATGACGTGTTGGTCAAAACGCAATGTTTTCATGACTGGTCAAATGGGCTTTGAGGGAGAGCATGTTATTTGGAATAACATTCAACCAGATGCTTGAGTTTGTGTGTGTGTGTGTGGGGGGGGGGGGATCATGACATTTTCAGTGTTTTACAGTTGCTCTGCACGATATGACTTTGCTGATTACACAAACAGAAAGCTGGTTTAAAATTAAGTATAAGACAAAAATGTATCTACTCACATATTTTGACGCTTTGCTACATTTAAATGCATGACATACACCATTTCAAAAATACACACAAACCATAGTTTTGCTGATTTGACTGTAAAGTGCGTATGACAAACGTGGTGGGAAAACACACACACACACACACACACACACACACACACACATGAACAACTACACACACACGCACGCAGGCAAAGTGAGCATTAAGTTGTGTGCTTGAGCAAACAGTCTGTCCAAAGTGAACCACCTCCATAGACCAAAGCGCTTAATTGTATTCAAACATTTCATTTGCATCCTTCCGCCTGTTTCTGCACAGCAAATTAGCATCATCAGCAATGAGCTGAAGTATGTTTTCATTCCTCTTGAAAAAAGAAAAAAACAAAAAAACAGCATTCCAGCACCCGTCATTCAGTGGGGACGTGGAAAAAGTACATCCATTATGTTGGAGTGTTTAGTTGTAATGTGTTGTAAAGTGGGTTTTAAATTTGTTGTTCAGATTTGTTTTTTTTTTAGGCTGTGCAGGCGGTTATTTATACTTAGAAAAAAAATGTCATCATTTCACCAGCGTTTGGTAATTGGAAATGCGCATAGAATTATACAGTAGTGATTTATACAAAACGTAAAGAGATCCAATATAGTATTGTGTTGTATTGCCTTTTTTTTTTTTTTTTTTTTTGTATATACACCCAGCGGCCACAATATTAAGCCCAACACCTAATTCCACCTTTTCCAAAAGATGACAATGCTCCCTTTCGATTGCCACTGTCCGACAATATATTCATTCTTGTAGTGGTGCAGAACTACACTGTTTTTGGTCATGACTTTTTGTATTGCATACCTTTATTTATTTATGGTGTGCGGTTCCACACCACTGCAAACCACGGCCACAGTAGCATTTATTAATAAATGATTGTTTTTTTCACACTGGCATCATTTTCAATTCAGCTCTCGCGTTGGTTGCAATTAGACTGCCCACGTGTCCCTAATCAAGTGTCCAGTGAGCCCACAAACCCAGGGGTGGTTTTTACGAGGGTCCCTTGTCGTGTTTATAGGTGACAGGTCCTTACTTAACCTCGCCCGGGCACCTCCAGTGTGTGTGACAGCTGCGTCACATCTGGAAATTAAGAGATTAATCCGAGTTGTTGCTTCGTATGAAGCTCGCCGGCGTCATGCGATGACAGAGCGCTCGCCCCTCGTTTTCATTTGCCACCCTGCTGAATGTCACACACGTTCACACTTTCAAACGCCGCAGCTAAATGAGAACGAGAAGCTGATGTGAAGGACTTGGAGAATACCTTTAACGCCGATTTACCAGTCTCCTTTTATGTAGTCAAGCAAGAAATGTGCCCCCCCTCCTCCTCCCTCTCTGCTTTATGAACTTATTTTTTATTTAAGTACAAAGATGCAAATTGTGACAATTTAAATTCCCTGAAAGGCTTTGAATGAACGCAACGTGTATCATCTCACCTCACAGCACTGACCACAACATGGAGTCACTCAATGTTCATGGAAGAGCAGGGAGCTGTTTCAAATATTTGACCACTCTTGTCTTGCTAAATAACCAAATGTTACAACCGTTCTATTCGAAAATATGTCACACCGAAAACCTGTTCTGTACAAAAATGCACTCATTGTCCACAGTGTGAAATTGCAGAGATTCAATACGGCAGCCTTACCCCAAAAAGGTGTGAGTTGAATTCCATGTTTGTTACTGTGGGGCGGATTTTTGCTGTAATGTACAAAATATGTCAGAGATAGAACAATATTGGTATACTTGCGCAATCTAATGATCCAAATATATCCATCATGATGTTGTGTGTTTATTACCGTACTTATGGACGCCTCCCCTTAAAAAAAAAAAAAAAAGAGCATATTTTAAATGAGTCCCTCTCTAATGTCAATCAATACTGAACATTATTACCTTTAAAATGCCCCCCCCCTTCAGTTGTTTGTGCTTCGTGTAGGTGTACCCAACGTGTTCAAATATGCCATCGTAGATGAATTACTGTCTGATAATGCGCATTTGATCCCCCCCCCCCCCACCCAACAACTTGATTGCCACACGTGTTTCGGTGCAGCGTGTGAGCCCCCTGTAAACGATCAGCCCGTAATGGGCAGTGTGTAACACCATTAGTGACGGTGTAAATTGACAGCGCGGGCCCACAGCGTCGCTATAAGGGGAGCAGTAAACATCCACACTGACACTCCATGTATGTGCACTAATGGTGACAAGTAAAGCCGGCTCGTGATTACCTTGTGGTGTAATAAAAAAAAAAAAAGAATGAAAGAAAACACAGCCCCTGGGATGTCGGTGTTGCTGTTGTAAATCAATACAATGTTCATCACTGGAGATGGATCTATTTGACATGAAGCCCTTTGACTACAAGGCGTGAGATCAGTGCGGGATTGTCGTCTTTAAGGACAAAATGTTAAACGCCGGCTGAACTCATTTTCATACCAAAAAAAAAAAAAAAAAGCAAAGCAGGTCCCCGTTGGGAGCGCGACACTTCAAACAATCGGCCGTAAACGTATTCCTCTCCGGCTCCTTTTCCTGCTCTCCGTTCCACCTGCTTTCTACATGGCAGTTGTTTTCCCTCCCCGGTGGCCGCTCTCCATGTTATCTGCGCGCACGCTGACAATTCCTGCAGTGATCTAAAGTTGGGCCGCGTTAGAAAGTGGAGGCAGCTGTCTGTTGCGGCACTGAGGGATGTGTTTGCTCTACTGCGAAGATGAAGGACCGTGAATCCTTGACATCCTCTCTTCCTAACCCTCTCCACCCTCCCTCCTCTCCTCCCTCCTCCTCCCACCATCTCATTTAGACACATGCAACTGTCCGCTCACCCCCCACCCCCTCCATCTTTTATTTGTCTTTTGAATGACAGCATAGAGTCCAAAATGCATCCTTTTCTCAACCGTCCGTGTGTCTCCGTGTTATACATTCTCTCTCCGAGGAAAGGCATTTGATTTAGATTTAGGCAGACAAAACAAACCAGGTTGCCTAATTAGACATTCCGGCGGCATAGTTTTGTCGATGCATTGTCACACCACGCAATCCATTCAAGGGACGCTTATGGAAGTCATGTAAATTGAGTTCATGTGTTTCGGGTGAGCGGTCGCCATCGTAAAACTGTTCATAAATGTTCGGGCGATATTTTAAGACAGGCGGCGACACGCCGCACAATCCTTTGCAGAGTGATATTGGTATCTTGACATTGTTTGGTTTTATTGCTAAAATAAGTCATACGTCTGTAACCGGCAACGTCTTTGCCGCCTTTATGTTTAGAGCTGGGCCTTGAAATCACACCGCGGTAGAAACCGCATCCCCTCATGCTCACTGTGTGTCAGTGTAAGAATGACTCTCAAAAGTATTTCTGAATGAGTCAGACAGCCACTTAGAAAAGCCAAATTGATGAAAAAAAAAGATGGCAAAACCCCTTCAAATTCAACGCTTGCTGGTGCAACCCCCCTGCGCCCCCCCCCAAAAAAAAACCTCACCGCATTGCTGATATTCTAAATATTGCCATGTGTGCCAACCAACCTATTGCACTAATTTGCTGTTTATCGGTGGCAACTCTCCACTGTAACTCTGTTCCAGACAGACTTCTGTTAAAAGTGTACCATCACATAGTACACCACCTAAGCCCTTTTTGGGGTGTTTCGCGATCTAATCGGCAGCTCGGAGCTGGATTTAAAAAAAAAAAAAAAAAAAAACAGTGCTGGCAGCAGCTTCTCCAGCTCTGTGTTCCAACATGCTTGCAGCCATTTTCACACTAAGGCTTATTCGATGATGTTACCAACAAGCGTTATCATGATTGAGAGGTAGAGTCCATATCGTATTGACCGTTTTTATACCGTCGAGCGCTTATTCGACGCTTCCCCCCACGCTCGAGAAGTTTTTAATTGTACTTTTTTTTTTTTTTTTTTTTTTTAATCGCGCTAGTCATTAGCAATTATACTTTCAGCAACATGACTGAAAACGACTTCAAATCAAGTTGCTACGTTTGTGCTGAGCAACCAGGACAGAGATGTGCATAGCACTTTCGGATGTTGCGCTCAATCACCATTTCTGGTTGGCTCGTAGTCATCTTTCCCCTTTGCCAACATCCAAAGCAATTTGTGGAGTGCATCTTTTGGATTTTCCTGTTGTCTGAAATCATGTTTCAAAAAAATGTGCTTTGTTGCTCGTGCGTGATGTGTTCACACTTGCATTCTGGAAATCTCATAGCACACCACCAACAGGATGAATCGTGAAATGGCGATGACCGTGACATATTCTGTTCTATGACTAGCAACAGGTGGATACACGGGTTTATTGCCATCTCCCTTTGTTTGCCTGTCCCTATATATTGCTGGCATAGATAGGTGGACAAAGATGAGA